GGTTGTTTACTTTAATATTAGCACAACTGCAATATTTATATATTGTTACCAATCATTTTTAATTGAAGAACTGTATATACTATCTTAAAGTCTTATGAAAATTGAGAATATGCTAGAAGACCTGGTTATAAAAGAAACAATTTATGTCTCACCTTTCCTGGACAAAAGCTAATGATTATCTGTTGTTAAGTTAAAGGGGTGAGGGTAATGTTTTTAAATGTTGTGACTTTATGGCTGGGGAACAATTATAAATCTATAATTTGAATGAGACACTCCTAGATTAAGTGATTAAGTGATCATCAGCATTCCATTAAGTTGCAATGGGCATTTGATCCTCATTTTGATTTTATAGAGCATAAATACCTTGTAAGTTTGTCATATTGTCATATGCATTAAGTTGTGTTTATAAACACTTCTGGGAGAGATTTTCATGTGAAAAATACGTAGATGAAATTTAAATGATCAATCTATTGTGACCATAGACGTTGGTTAACCGTCTCCTCTTCCCATCAGGCAGTGCTAGGAGCTAAGCTGGCTGCTAGAAAAGAAGAAGATGAAGGAGAAGGAGGAGGAAGAGGATGAAGAGGAGAAGGAGAAGGAGGGGGAGGAGGAGGAGGAGGAGGAGGAGGAGAAGAAGAAGAAGAAGAAGAAGAAGAAGAAGAAGAAGAAGAAGAAGAAGAAGAAGAAGAAGAAGAAGAAGAAGAAGAAGAAGGCAAAGACAACGCAGCAGCATTGCAAGTGCTGAGGATCCAGTCTGAATACAGAAAGCCAATACCATAGAGTCAAGACAACACCCTTTTTTCATTGCCTCTTCAATTATTCTGTGTAATTATTTCAATTCACATTTTGTCTTGTTTCCATTGCTTTTTTCCTATCACACAAATATGCCCCAGCAATGACACATTCAAGATGCTATGCATGTGTTTTGTGTACTAGACAGAAGAGGATTGGAGACCATGGTATAACAACCTTGTCAACATTAAAAACTGCAGAATGAGATTGATACTTAAGGAATTGATTCTTTATCAAGCTTAGTAAACACCTTGTGACTTACATCCTATCTCAGTTCATATTGGATCTTTATAGGTACGAGATGTCTGTGATGTAAATAAACACAATCAACATTTCAGGATCCATATTCAACAATAATCTACCACGATCTCAATCAATCTAAGACTGAGTACTGAAGAAAAAAATCTATTTTAAAGAACTTACCATGAAAAACCTTAAAAGAAATTCAGAACTTAGAAGCAGATACAAATAAGTTAACTCACTTAGTCTTGTCTGTGTTGCCTCTGTGTGTGTATATTCCACAATCCTTTAGTATATGCCTATAATAGTGTTCAAAATGTGCTTTTCAAATTTAATGTGAAGTGTAGGAGTGAACAATACAGAAAGTAAAACCCACAGAAACATAGAAGCTCTGGAATAAGCAATTCTTAAAGTACAAAGATCTATTGTCTTAAGGAAAGAGGCGGATGCTTTACAAACAACACATCACTGACTTAAATTATGTTGGAGGCTTCCCAGGAGACCCGGTGCATCGCTATGGAAGCCACATCCTTCCGTGAACAGGAGAGTCACAGATTTCTGAATGCACAACCCAGTTCAAATGATGTCAGTACTTACCCCTGGAGAAACGACTTCCCATGTCAACTACACTTCCAGGTCTCCCACTCTTGTCTAATCTCTCACAGACTAGATTCAAATGAAACTGACCGATGAAGAAAGAGTTAATTTGCAGTGTCCAGCTCTGTGGACTTCAAACAAACTGTCTTCTCCTCGTCCTGAAAGAATTCTACATCATAGCCAAGCCTAGTTACTGTCTACATTGTGTCTTCAGGAGCTGACTCATCCTAAGCTCTGCTTGTATGCCTTATCATTATCTTGTCCAAAGACAAAATGCACTTTGAATTCAGATGCGAATGTCCTCGGAGTTGAGAAGCTTGGGAAAGGCACCAGTACTCTGGTGCAAAAAGCAGAGCCCTGAGGGAAATCTTAACAGCCAGTGTGGGTGGTTTCACCCTCTAGAAATACCAGTTGGAAGACAAATGAACAAAAACAAACAAAATTTTCAGTATCTTCATGCAAATTATTATTCTTAGTGGTTTATTTTATTTCAAACTTAGTCACAGTCATATTGACTTTTTAAGTTCTCATAGAGCCATTAATATAAAATGATATGATTTCACTCCCCATTTCATATAAACTGCTCACATTCTCTTATGTTTATGAATTTTGAGACTACTTAAGCGTCTGTCTAATGAGTTTCACTTTGAGGGAAAAATGAGTGGTCCGACGATTGCATGCTCTTAATACTAAAACGAGCAAGACACCTTTCTGATTGAACATCCCCACTTTGTACCTTAAGACAGGTGTGCTGTAGAGGTGACAGCAATGCAGACAGACAGTTTCTTGGATCTTACATGTTAACATATGAAGACACTTTGCCCCCAAGGATAACATTCTAAAGGTGATCAATGCTACCTCTAAGGCTCACATTTTAAAATATGTAGTCTTTAGAAAAATTAAGGGTGGGATGTTCACCTCAAACTTAAAGGGAGGAAACAACCCAAAATATTCTATCAAATCCACCTAAAACTCCCTGCTTCCCATAGCTGTCATAATTCTGGAGTAAACTTTCAAGTCCACGACAAAATATTAAACAATTCCCATGGCAGAAATTCAGATTACCATTGCATCCGAAGATGATGGTAGCTCTTTATTCCACAATGTTTCATAAGGTCCAACCCATCTGCCACAGCAGAACAATGATTCAGGAATTCAAAATTATTTCTGCATTCATTACCCAACATTCTCACAGTCTGTATTAAAAATAGTTGACACACAGGAAGTCCCCGGTTAGCATCTCCTTCAGGTTTTAAGGAACTCAAATTATTGAGTCTTTTTTCTAAGAAGCAGTGAGGATGTCAAAGCAACACCTATCTAACCATTCAGAGAGAATTCTCTCACCCAGACCAGTGGACTTCCATCCATAACATAGGAGGACCGGATTCACACCACCGCCTCTGCAGCCTGTCTTTACCTTGCCGTTTCCCCTGCTCTGCGGTCTTCACAGCCTCACAGGACTCTGTCTTTTCTCGTGCTTCTTTCCTTGCAGAGTGAGCTGCCTGCTCCTTCATTAAACAGCATTAAAAACAGACTGCCAAGAACTCCCCAGTGCAGCATGCTCTAACGGGGCGATTGCTCCAGTTCGCAAGAAACCACACTCAACTGGGGTCTACAACATGCAGTCACTGGGAGATTGGCAATTTTCAAATATAATCAATCACACACACACACACACACACACACACACACACACACACACACATACACACGTTTGGGTCTGAACTGAACATCCCCAAAAGGAAATAAACTAAGTCACCGAGAAACCTAAAGGTATTTCCCAAGCTGTGTAAGTTTCTTTAAATATGCCTCACCCAAACCAAGTCCAGTGAAATAAGCATTCACCATGGGTAGCAGTTACTTTATCATTCTGATGACATAAATCATACCCAGAGAGGAACTAAGACATGTCTAACATGACAGTCTAAAACAATGTCTTTAAAATTGGGTTGAAATTAAATAAAAATAATACAGATAAGCACAGAGAGCAAGAGATCATCTTTCCCAATCTTTTGTCACGATACCAAAGTGCATCTATCACCTTAAAATGCATTTAGACTCACTCTCCAGAAATACAAAAATAACCAGTCAAAGAATTAAAAAGTAAAAGAAGAAGAGGACAAAGGAAATGAGAATCAAACATAAGCATTACATACCTTGAAGAGCTACATAGCCCTGAGCACACAGGGTCTCTCACAGGTAGCCCACTTTGGGATCACTCCGCTGTTTGAACAACACATAACCAGAGCGTGTGCCTTCCAAATGACTGTTTTTTTTTTTTCATGAAAACAACATTAGCTAAAATGCTATCCAGACACCCCAGCCCTATTGTAACGCAATACTGAAGAAGAAAAGAGAGCTGTATGCGTGCTGAAGTGTGTATGAAAGGCTTTCTGACTTTTACAGAATTAAAAAAGAATGAATGCCTTTTCTGTCATGTCTTCTCTCTCACTTAAAGCAGTAACAGCAGATTTGATCTCCAAGGCAGATGAGGAAGGGGTGGGCACAGTTTAGATTTATTCTGCATTGGAGCAAAAATTAAAAAAAAATACAGAGTGATTTCAATCTTGGGGGCTGTCATTCTTGCTTGCAGAAGCAGAGTACGTTGAGAAGTCAGACAGGAAAATGATCGTCTCCATTTGCAGTTCATTCTTAGGGAGATCATTTCTAGCAGCCTTGCCTTGAGCCTCCCACCCCACCACCCTGTAACTTTCCTCTTTGCTTTGCCTTTCAACTTACACTCCGGCCTTACTCTGTATCTGGAGAAGATGATCAAGTTTTGAATGTAACACACCTGAGACATAAATACCAAGTCACAAATTCTCTTCCCAAGAAACTTTTTTAAACGCTTGCCTAATTCAAATCCAATCCTACCGCCACATTTATGACCTGAGACCTCTAACCTTAAATTGGAGGCTGCTATGAAAATTATTTCAAGCTTTTAAAATTAAAATAAAAATATTATTATCCTCCCCCCCAACCCCTTGGGACCCAGGACATCTTGATGACAAGACAGAGACAAGTTTTCATTTTCTCTATAGCTTTTTTTCCCCCCAACTGAATTAAGAGAATTTCCAAACTTGGCACTACAAAACCCATATAAAATTACTGGAAACTTCTCTTACGGAAAGTATCATCTCTTTTAATTCCCCTCCCAGTTTTCAATTTCTGCTTGATTTGGGGGAAGGGAAGTCCACCCATTCCTTCGGCGAGACATAGAGACAGAAGATAAACAAGACAGAGACACAAACAGTTCAAAGCGAAAGCACACATAGATGGTAGAAAGAAGGGGAGGGGGGCAGAAACAGACAGCCCCAACAGTGAGACACAAAAGGCGTGCGATGTTCACGTCGGAAGAGTTGGCGTTTTACCTGAAGGAACAGAGAGGAGTTACTCAGCGTCCGGGTGCCTTGACTGACTGGATTTCGTTTGGGGCTTTTGTGAATAATTATTGTTTCTCAGTGAATGCTTTGGTTGGGCCAGTTTGGTTTGTAACTTGCCTCTGATGTTTGGTCGATTTATTTAACTGCTAGCGAAAGGAGCCCTCGGCTTGGAGGCAGGGGTCCTCTCGCAGCCCAGACACAGCCCTGGTGGGGACCGCGTGGCTGCGGCTGGCGGACTTTCGCCGCTCCGGACGCTTGGAGGTCGTCGCTAAAGAGCCTGCCCGCCAATCCCGACTGCTGAACTCTTGTCTTTCTGTATGCCTGTCAGTCTGTCCGCACCAGGAAGAGAGAGAGAGAGTGTGTGTGTGTCCCGGCTTTGCTCCGCTCCTCTCTCGGGAGTAGCCACTGTCTCCGGTTGCCAGTTCTTGCGCTGATCAGTCTGTCCCTCCGCGTCCTGCAGTCCCACTAGCAATGCGGGGATCAGGTTCCTAACGTCGGAGCCCGCAGCGACTCTGCTACTTTGCGCTCTGGCCACTTCTTGGGGTTGGGTGGGCGGAGGTGACTGCAGGGAGCGAGTGTGCGGGGCTGGCTGTCCTGTCCCTCCCTCTCCCTCTCTCTGCCCACTGAGTGCTCCCTGTGTCTGTTTCTCTCTCTCTCTCTCTCTCTCTCTCTCTCTCTCTCTCTCTCTCTCTCTCTCTCTCTCTCTCTCTCTCTCTCTCTCTCTCTCTCTCTCNTCTCTCTCTCTCTCTCTCTCTCTCTCTCTCTCTCTCTCTCTCTCTCTCTCTCTCTCTCTCTCTCTCTCTCTCTCTCTCTCTCTCTCTCCCTGGCTTGCTGATCTCTTTCGGGCTGTGTGAGTGCGTCCACCTGCTTGTCGCTCTCGCAGTCCCACCGGAGTCAGCAGCCTCGTTGGGTCCCCCTGACCGCCCCGCCCGGCAGCGCCCTCCCACGCGGCTGGCACTGCTCCTAGGCAGCGCCCATCTCCTCCCCGCCAGCCGAGGACGTGTCCTGCCGGGCACCGAGAGCACTGCACGTGGCCCCTCAACGGTCCCAACCCTAGACCCGTGTCCCTGACTCCTCTGAGAAGGGAGGTGACCCTGCAGGCACGCCTGGCGATGCCCGGCCGCTGTGCCACCACGCGAGGCTAAGGCACCTGCTCGATGCGCTGGGCGCTGCCATCCCCACTGCTCTCGCCACCCCTGGGCTGGAGACAAAGCGCATGAGCCACGCGCGCGGCAGCGCGAGCATCATTAATCAGAGAGGAAACTGGCGCGCTGCCCCGGCCCCGCCACCCCGCCTCTCCTTCCCAGCCATCGGGCGCGCCCCGGCGCCCAGCCCTTGCCTACCTCGCCAGGGTACCACCTCCAGTCCTAGGGATGCTTGGCCAGAGCTTCTGGAGTTCTGGTACCCGGAGCTCACTCTCCTGGGCCAAGTGCAGAGAACAGCCCTGGGCAGCAACACCTCACCCCACCTATGAAATGAATCCCAGCCTTGAGCTCTCAGAGATGCCCTGGCTTTGGAGCTGAGAGAGACCACAAGTCCAGCTGCTCAGCTAGGCTGGTCTTCTGGATGCAAGACCGCCCAGATCACTGCCGCCCGCCTGCTGAGCGAGCGCTGATGCTCTGACTGAGAGAAACCCAGCACTGCAAAGCCCTGAGGGGTAGGGCTGGGGCAGGGAGCAGAGTTGACACCTGAAGAAATGAAAGCGCTGGTTTACCCATTTGTTTGGAGACACGTACTATTTTTATTATCTGCAATTCATTTTTTTTTCATTGTCTAAGGGCACACTACCAAAAAGAGGGAAAAGTACAGAGAAGAGAGTGAATACATTTCCGGAATACCGCCCACCCCTGAGCAACGATACATCCTACTTTCCCAACAGTATAGGTCATCAGCCAAGACAGACCATTCCAGCTTTCTACCCCCAGTTGAGAGCAAGGCATTGGATTCCAGGCTTCTTGGCTAGGTTGTTATTAATGGGTAGCAAAATTATAGCTGTGCACTTCTGTGTGGAATTACCAAAGCTCATTTTGACAATACCCAACACCCGAGCTTCTGAAATGCGGACTCTGAGTTAACCGTGGATCTGCTGCAATACACAATACATTGAAAAAGGGGGGAAATCAACTCTTAGTAGCGGCGATTAGAAACCTCATAAACAGACAACAGATATCTAACCACCACAAACTATGCCATGAAAATTTCATCTTTTTGACTTCTATTTAGTAATACCTACCTCTAATGGTAGACTTTAAAAAACGAACAACAAAAACCAGGCTTCTAAAAACATGTGGCTTCCATGGTGTTCTAGCAGAGTGGTGTGTGTGTGTGTGTGTGTGTGTATTTCTAAAAACTGCTACAGTGTAGAAGGTTGGGCTGGCCCTTGAAGAACAGATAATTATTCTCCAGCTGTTAGACTCCCCCCCCCTGGGTAGGACAAATTCACAGAAAACAGTTTCAGGCAAAAGGAGCCTAAAGCTTTCAGGATAGTCACTTGGCTGGAATCTCATCTTTCCTAGCCATACTTCTCAAAATATGTTAGTAAGTGTCTCCCAGCCATTTGGGATATAAAAGAAAAAAAATTAAAAGTTTCTTATCACATTCCAGTTCTTTAAATTAAATGCCATCCTAAGGACAAAGCACTATGTCTCTCCCTGGGAAACTGTATTAAACTGTGTTGTCATACATCCATACAATTGAAACCTTAGTTAAAGAAGGGTGGTCAGAACGTGTAATCTCTCCTACACAGGAACAACCCCACTCCTGACACACACACTCACACCCACCCACCTGCACCCAGAATTCAATTCTGTAAACCAGAGTGGAAAGCACAGTCTTTTTAAAGGGGAGGGGAATTCTGTGAGGATTCTTTTTTAAAAAAATAAAAATAAAAAATCCAGCATTTAGACCAATGAAAAAGATTCTAAATCTTAATGATATATGGACAAACTGGATGATGAGACTTAATGCAATGTCTCTTGTGGACTTTTAAAGCTCTGTTTGAGAATGAGAAGCACATTTGGAATTAAAACATTAAAACTCAATTTAATTTTCTATCATTTCTTCTGATATTTTTGCCAACAAGTCAGTGGCCTGAGAAAGCTCCAGTTTGTTTGAGGCCATGTTGCTAATTGGTATTCAGATATCCAATTTTAAAAATTTGTGTCCCTGTGTGGGACCGGAATATCCTCGCGGGACTATTAGGCAGGGAGTGAGCAATGTTATTATTGCAGACATTCAGAAAGCCTGCACATTTCCTTCAACGATTTGCCTGCTTTCTAACAGTTCAGGCCCCTGGCCTGACAGATTAACAAACCTTAAACTCTCTAAAACAAGGTCTTCCGGTTTGGACCTCTGGGTCCCAGTGGCACTGATGTCCTCATGTTTGAGATGTCCTGTGAGGGAGGCAGAATGTACCTTCACTCCTGGCCTGAGGGCCCTCCGGTGTTCATTGTCTTTGTGTTTGAAATGAGGGAGCCTGCCTGTAACCAGGTAACCCCAGCTTGGGGAGTTGAGCTCCCCTCCACACTGGCAAACATCTAAGACTGTTGACAAGCTCCTTTAAACACGTATTCCCTGAAGACACTAAATTAGTGCCCTTTAATGACGCTCTCAAATTGGATTTTCAAAAGAAGGCGAATTGCTAGAATAACCCAGCTACCTTTATGAGCACCTTTTCAGCTGAAGCGAGAAGTAGGATTTCCGTGCCGTTGAACTTGCAACATCTCCCAACAATTAGGCTGTGAGGAGCTCCAGTTAAGGGTGTACATTCTCTCCACCATAAAGGCCCACACATTCCCTAGAGAGGCTTTTCATCTGTCCTCTACCCAGCAACACTGGCTAGTGTCTATTAAATATCAGTCTTGGGTTTAGGTTTCAAGCCTTAGAAATACATATGAGGAAGAAAAGCAAGGAGAAAGGTGGGGAGGGGGAGGGTGGGGGGATGGCAAGATTAACATTTCAACCAGAAAAGTTGAGAGCCCCATTCTTATTTTGTACTAAGCCAAAATAACTCCAAAAACACATTTCAGAACATCAACAAAGAATGTTACATCATGTATGCATCTGAGCGTGAAGAAATGTCACGATCAAAAACAAAGAGGACTTGGGAGACTAGAAACCAAATGTTCGGATGGCACGGATCCCTTGGTGCCAGCTCTGTCTCCTCTGCAGTAGGTTGTGTGCAATGTAAGGAAATTATCCCTGTGAGCAGCAGACCACAAATGACCCCTGGCCTGCACCCCCATGAAGTGATGCTCTGTTGCCAAAGCAGCTCAAGACGTTTCTTAAAAATAAATGCATTCGGGGCTGGCATGGAGCTGCCTCTGCATCAGAGGAGGGGCGATGGAAAGGCACAGGAGGAATTTGCTGAAGGGAGGCTTGGAAAGCCTGTCACAGAAAGATCTGAGCAACAATAGACCAGGAAGGCTGCTGAATAAGTTACGTGTTCCTTTTCAGCATCCCTTGGCCAGATCCATTGCCACTCAAAGCTCACTCGCTTTTTTATTTTTTTTTTTCCATCTTGGCAAGCAGAGCACTGTGTTTGCTCACCGGCACCCTGAGAAGTCCCAGGTTCTTATGGGGATCTGGCAGGGGGAGAGAGGCAAAAAGATATTCTCTCTGCAGAGCAGGATTAGGAAGCCCTTGCTACCTGCAAGTCTAGGACCATTTCTTCTAGAAATATAGTCGTACATGGAACCCACTAAAGGTGTTACTGTTTTCTACTTTACTTGTGTGTGTGGTGTGTATAAGTATGCATTTTCACATGTGTGTAGGTGCACATGTACCTGAAGTTCACATGAATTTGTATGTGCTTGTGTGTGGAGGCCAGAGATAGATATTGGTGTCTTCCTCCATCGGTCTCTACTTTTATTTATTAAAGTGGGATGTCCCGCTGAAACCAGAGCTCACCAATACAGCTAGTCTAACTGGCCAGTTTTCCCAGGTCATCTGGGCTTCCAAGCCTATGGGCTCTGGGGATCTGATCTGTGATCCTAAAACTTGTACAGCAAGCTCTTTTCATCTACTGAGCCATTTCCCCAATCAAAGGTGGTAATGATTTAAAAACAAAAATTAAAACAAAATCATATTTTTTAGCCTGAAAATGAAAGTAGAGAAAAAGCAGAAACCTTAGGAGAATATGTGAGAAAGGAGAGGCCAATATGTACTCAGGAGGCCCCAGGAAGGACGCAGAACAGAACCTAACTTGTGCAAAGCCAGGTCTGTGATCTGCCTCTTTTATAGTACTTTCTGAGGTCCCAGATCCCCAGGATGGACATTGGCTCCTTCCTCACACAGACGCTGAGGAGTGACCGTAAGTTATTTACAACTAGGGATCATATATTTGGCTTCTTGACCATGAGTTAACACTATTAATTAGGTGTCAGAAAAATAGCTTCAATCCACCTCTAATGAGATGCAGTACTTCTGAATTTGAAAACGATTCTCCAAACCTGAAAATGAGGTGTGTGTGTGTGTGTGTGTGTGTGTTTATGTCTGTCTATACAGTTGATACTTCACAAACAACACTTAGGTCTTACTGAAAACCTAACTGTTGTCCCATATCCTACATCTCCAGAAGGACAACATTACA